TTATGAAACACGTGAGTGTGTGAACAACACCGTGTCTTGTCTACAGATACTGGAAAAAGTCAGCAAGGCTTGGGTTAGCTCCTTAACAACATTAACACCATTTATCTCCCCCCACCCTCCTTTCTTGCAGTAACATACAAGAGATTTTTTTTTAATGGCCAATACTTACTGTTCAGAAGCTCACTTTAATATAATATCAGCTTTCCGCCTCATAGCCTCTGGCAGGACTTCCTTTTCATAGATCACAATGTTGGGCACAGGGCCAGGAGATGGTGAGGTTGACTCACAGGCCACTGCAGCTTAAAAGAAGTCAGAATAATAAAAAGGAAGGCAGATCTGACGTCACTGGCAAGGGAAATTTTGTGTGTGTGTGTGTGTTGTGTTAAGCGAACTAATTACAGCTAACTCTGAACAACATGAGAGAAGAAAGAACTCGCTGAGCGAAGCCAAGCCCAAGGGGGAAAACATCCACATATAAAATCAAACTACTCCATTAAGAGCTTGCAAATATTTTGAACTTGAACATTAATTGGTTATTTATCCTAAGGTCAAAGAAAAACAAAACAGAAAACACCAGAAACTGTTCAAGCAAACATTTTTTGTTCACCAGGGTGAAAGAGCAAGCACTTTATCATGATAAAGTAATGAGAACACACACACACACACACAAACATACACACAATTGACTTTTAGAATGGTTCTGTTGGGAGCTACATATCCACAGTAAAAAGCACCCCTTTATTAAACCACTGCAATGGAAAACAGCAAGAATAGGGAAAATTTCAAGATAAGCTCAGCTTTTAAGTCCACTTGTTGAAAACCAAATGTGGCTACAATTATTATTAGGCTTGAGACTGTTGAAACCTCCAAGTTAAAAGCAAAGCAACACTACCTTCAGCCATAGCAGGATTACTCTTTTATTAGTAGAGGGTCGGGATTAGTGGAAATGTCTATCTAATGAATGCAGCTACTATATTTGAGCACATGCCTGAATGAGCTGCTTGTTGATTGAAACCTATCTATTTATAAGCACTTCTGCATGCTGTGAACAATCCTTCTGTATTTCCATGGCACAGCACACCCCCGCCATCTGAATCAATGCCTCTGCCATCTCACTACAGGACCCCTTGAACAAACAGGCAGAGAAAGCAAGTGTGTTGTATCCACGTAACAAGTTTTATTCCTCACTCTTGGCCAGTAGAGTTACCTTATCTAAACAGTAATTTAGATTGATGCAGATGTTATAAAATCAAAATGGGGGAAGAAGGGAAACACTTTCCCTCAGACTCACCCACCCACGGTTTTAGCTTAATAAATCTATTAGCATAAACTGGATAAATGGTCACAAATAAAACTCAGCTAGGCAGACTCTGATGATGTCAGAATCTCTTAACCAGTCTGGAAAAGTAGATGGGACTATACACACCTGTTATGGCTACAATGACAGCACCTCCAATAGCAACCAGTATAACAGAAAGAATAGCCTTGGGACACAACTAAACTTTGCTTTCAACGTGTGGGGTTCTCTTAACTACATCACTGGAGGTAGGACCATACCCTGCCTTCCTACATAAGCCTCACAGTCCATTCTGGATTCCGAGTCTCTCCTCCCTCCCCACCCATCAGTACACATGGCTCTGCTTTTAAGATGTGGTGGCTATCTCAGATTCCAGAGGCTTGGTTGGGTGCTGAGAAGGATCTCTTCTTCCACCCCAGTTTGTTTCTACTCCTCTGCACTCAGGACCTCATTTATTATGTTAAGTCTTTAGGGGAAAAGGTTGACAAGCAATTTAATGGTTTTGTTTGTTTTTTGCTTGGTCATGGAGCTTGAGCTCTGGGCCTGGGTGCTGTCCCTGGGCTCTTCAGCTCAAGGCGAGCGCTCTACCCCTTGAGCCCCAGCGCCACTTCTAGTGTTCTGGTGGCTAATTGGAGATAAGAGTCTCACAGATGGGCTAGGAAGATGGCTCAGTGGTAGAGCGCTTGCCTTGCATGCCCGAGACCCTGGGTTTGATTCCTCAGCACCACATAAGCAAAAAGAAAAAAGACGGAAATGGCCCTGTGGCTCAAGTGGTAAGAGTGCTCGCCTTGAGCTGAAGAGCTGAGGGACAGTGCCCAGGCCCAGAGTTCAGGCCCCACGACCGGACCCAAAAAAAAAAAGTCTCACGGACTTTCCTGCCTGGACTGGCTTTCAACTGGAATCCTCAGATCTCAGCCTCCTGAGTAGTTAGGATTACTGGCATGAGCCACCAGTGTCCAGCAGAAATGAATGATTTTTAAGAGTTGTAAATAATCCTTACAAATAACTGGTCATCATCAAACTGAGATCTTACAAAAGATCTTCTAGTGAACTTTATGAATGATGGTAGGCAAACTGTCCAGGTATTCTATTATTAGAAAGGGAAGATAAATCAACTGGCAATTGGAAGCATCACCATAGTGAGCAGAAAAAATGTGGGTTTAGGCAGTGTTTGAATCCTATCTATTTCTCTTTCTAGAGTTTGTAAGCCAGAATAGCAATGCCTGAAACAACTTATTTTTCTCATTCATACTGTGGGAATACAACAAACACAGAGGATCACTTATTTTCTATTTTTCTAGTTGACAAAGCAAAAGTGTAAGTCTGGAAACAAAGATATTAGTGTTAGACAACCAAAGCTGAAACTTAAAAATACATTTGGAAAGCCAGGCGCTAGTGTCTCACACCTGTAATCCTAGCTCCTCAGGTGAGGGTCAGGTTGAAGCCAGCCCAGGCAGTAAAGTCTGTAAGATTCTTATCTCCAATAAACTACTCAGAAAAAGCCAGAAGTAGAGCTGTGTCTCAAGTGGTAGAGTGCTAGCCTTTGAGTATAAAGAGGCTCAGGAATAGTGCCCCAGGCCCTGAGTGCAAGCCCCAGGACAGACAAAAAAGAAATAAGTAAATTAAAAAATGCAAGCATTCAACCATAATTGATCTAAGTCCCTATAGTAACTGATACAGACACACAATGCTAATTTGGAAGCTGACTGACATAGATCTGGCAGAGGAAGAACATGATGGAAGGCGCTATTGGTACCAAATCCTTTTGTAGATAAGGAAGTCAGGAGCTAAGTAGTACATATGAAAGGTTCACAGGCAACAGAGGTAAGATTTTGATAAACAACAACAAAAACCTCTGAACTTTTCCTACCACATATTTTCTGCAATTTTCAACACTCATATAACATTATTAAATATAATAGGGCTAGCCTGGCGCCGGTGGCTCACACCTGTAATCCTAGCTACTCAGGAGGCTAAGATCTGAGGATATCAGTTCAAAGCCAACCCAGGCAGAGAAGTCCATGAGACTCTTATGTCAGATTAACCACCAGAAAACTGGAAGTGGTGCAGTGGCTCAAGTGGTAGAGTGCTAGCCTTCCTTGAGCTGAAGAGCCCAGAGTTCAAGCTCCACAACTGACCAAAAAAAAAAAAGGTCTATGTTCTCCACCCTCCCCCCCGCCCCTCCCCGCCATCCCAGGGTTGCACGCCACACCATGGCCTCTAACTTACTCTAACTTACAATCCATCATCCTTAGCCTCCTCACTAGGCTCAGGCTTGCACCCAGCCTGCCCTCCCACCTCTTGGTTTATGTGTTGTTGTTTTTTAAGATACCAAATAACCCACTTTTGCAAAAACCACCAAAGGGAGAATATGGCACCTCCTGTAGACTTTGATCTAACACAGCAACAAGAACAGAACAAAAAGAAGATTACACTTTGGTTTTCGACCTTTCCAATCATGGCTGCCTTTCTATCTAGCACTCTAAAAGATCAAGAACCAGAGCCTTACACTTGATTCCTAAAATCCTTTCCTTTTTACTATTTCCTTTCTATTTTCTACTGGGGTTCACAGCTCAGTATGATAAGAAGGTAATCTTAAATCCTTGCTGTACTGATTCATTCAGCCATTCACCAATCCAGCATCCAGTGGCCACATATTCCTCAGTGGCTTCCATGAAAGACTTAGATGGACTCTAAGTGTTAGCTGCTACTAACTACCTCAGTTGACTGGGCTTTCTCACAAGGATGGTCTCTTCTCTAAGAGAAACTGTTGAGCTGTGTGTCCTTCTAAGCCTGATTAACAGGCTTCTTTCCTGATTGACAGGAAAGATAAGCAGGTGGTTAGGAAAAGAGTCTTTAGCTTTGATAAACATTCACAAGCAAAATTCATTAATGAAGGGAAAATTTAAAGGCTTTTTAAATGTTCAGAGTACTTTATGGATTATGAAATGTTAAATTTCCAAAGACAGTTTAAAGTCACAAAGCAAAGAGTAGGAATTATTCACATCTAACAAAGAAGGGGAAGGGAGAATCAAGTGATTTATGCATTAGGCCCCAAATTCAGCAACTCAAGCCAGAAACCTAAGAATTTCCTCACTACAACTTTTATACGAAGATTATTAAGCTCAGCTGCAGCCTTCAGTATTTGTTTCCATAGACATTACTAAGAAAGCATTTTACTTTGGCATTTTTGTAATATGGCACCGTTTATAGCTGTCTTCATCCCTAATAAACCTTACTAAACAACATCTTTAGAGCTGGCAGGACGTATCCTTAGGAGGTGACCGCCAGGTTACTAGTGGCTAATGGATGGCTTCTAGTCTGGGTTATGTCACTTCTTTTCTTGTGTTTTCTTGAGTTAGAAGTTAAACCATGCTCATACTTCCAATTTAGCCAAGCCAGTATCTTCCTGACACAAACACAAAATCTAGAGAAGTACAAATGTTTCCATTGCCAACTTCCCTCTTTTATCACTCTTGGATGATAGGGCAGCCAATCTATGATTTTACAAACTTGTAGTATGTGGCTGTTGTTTTTTTCCTGTTTAGACTGTTTTTCCGAAGAATGACATAATTCATGTTAGGCTGAGAGAGAAAGAACCCTACACTAAAAGAGAACTGTAATTTTTTTTTTTTTTTTTTTACTCTTTGGGCTGAAATAACTAAAAAATACCATAAATATGGAATATAACCATACCTGGGCAAAATAAAAAATAGGGACATTTTTATTTAATGTATTTTAGACAATACAAACAGGAACATCACAAAAACAAGAATGTTAGGCATAACACAAATTTGTTTTAAGAACAAGTATTCTGTGTTTCGATATACAGGCATGAGAGATACTGGAGGAGTTTAAAGCCCCTTTTCCAGAACCTTCTCCGGCATGGTCAATACTGATTCCGAAACTGGTTGCTCAGGTCTTGGAGCTTTAGTACCAAGGTGTCCACAGCTGCTACATCATCCACTAACTCCCCGGAGATCTCTCCACTTGCCACATCTGTAAAGTTTTGCTGCAGCACACAAAACAAAGCATGACTGTCAAGACAATGAAAACTTCTTCCACATACAATACAGTGCAGAATTAAAATCCTTTGCATAACAACACATAGAATGGCAGTATCTTTTTTAGACATGTAACAGTTATAATAAATAATGAATCAAAACAACATGTGTCAACTTAGAAATTCAAGAGCTCTGTCTTCAAAGCAGCTGCCTTAAATATTGGTTATTCATTTCCGTGTTATGCAATGGCTTGGGATGACCAACATTATCAATCCAACTGAAGATCTACTTACTGCCTATGGGAGCAAAACAAATGTCGTTTATATTCAAATTAATAAAAAATCATGTCCTTGTGCTACTTAAAAATTAATTTTCAGGGCTGGAATGTGGCTTAGTGGTAGAGTTCTTGTGTAGCAGGCAAGAAGCCCTGGGTTTGATTCCTTAGTAGCACATAAACAGAAAAAGCTGTAAAGGATGCTGTGGCTAAAGTGGTAGAGTGCTAGCCTTGAGCAAAACAAGCTCAGGGACAATGCCCAGACCCTGAGTTCAAGCCCCAGGACTGGCAAAAAAAAAAAATTTTCACATAGACCCCAGAGACCACAAAGATTATCAAAATATTATCAAAGCAAATGAATCCAGAAAAATAGAATAAAAATAAATGTGTGCTCTTCTAGAAAAGGAATTACCTTGGGAGCTTTATTACAATGTAATTCCATACTTCCAGAGCTGGACACTTTGGAATGCCTCTCTAAGAGCCAAAGGAGGGACCCACAAAATCAGCTTCATTCTCTTGTTTGTTCTTCCCCCACGGTAAAACCCCTGTTGTCACTGTATTTGATGTCAGTGCCCTGCATCTTGTATACACATTTTTCTAATTTGGGGAGGGGAGGGGAAATAACAAAACGCTGAAATAAGGACACAGATTGACCCATTCTAACAATGAGATGTACAAAACACTATGTTGAAAACGAACTTTACAACTTGGGGGAGGGAGGGAGAGTTGGGGAGATGGAGAGGGAAGGGATGGTAGGGGAAAAACAAAGGAGGGGGTAACAATGCTGGATAGGAAATGTACTCATTACCTTACTCATGGTAACTGTAACCCCTCTGTTCAGTATTTTTACAATAAAAACATATACAAATAAAAATAAATAGAGGTTTTTTCCTTTAAAAAATCAGCTTCAACATTTTGTGACCATATTTTGTGTTGGATGGGGAGGTGGAAGAGAAGGGAACTGCCTGTGTTTTACTGTGTTTATGTGCACACATGCATGCACATGTATATATGTATGTGTATTATGTGAGTGTACATATATATGTTTTAACCAGAAACATACCTTATTTGGCTTATTATGAATAAATCATATTCATCAGACTTGACTAAACCATCTATAAAGTAATGGAATGGATGTAAGAGCTACTACAATGTAATTAGCAGAGAAAATAACTTGGACTCAGCACTCTTTTAGAGGGGTGGAGGCAGACAATACTAGGGTCTGAACTCAGGGCCTCTTGATTGGTAGGCAGGTACTCTTCTCTGTTGTGATTGTTGTTGTTGTTTTAGACAGGGTCTTACTTCCGGCCCAGGTACTATGATCTGTGTATTTTAGGCTCCCTGTTATAGAGGGGATGACAGGTGTGCACCACCATACTCAGCTTTTTCTACTGAGGTGAAGTTCCATTGACTCTTCTGCCTGGGCTGGCCTAAAGTCCAAATCCCCCCGATCTGTCTTCCATTTAGCTCAGGTTGGTATATACTTGCCACTGCATACAGCCATGGTTGAGAAGCTATGCGTCTCATCAGCCTTGCTATATATAGGCTGGCCTCAAGCTACAATTCTTCCATTCTCGGCCTCAGTAGGCAGGATTATAGGTATGAGCCACTGGTGCCCAGGTTCATACAGCACTTTTTTTTTTTTTTTTAAATTATAGTATATACAAACCACTATAAACTAAACCACTTTTGTATGAGGTAAGGAAAAGCAGAGAGAAACTGGAGCTTAAAAGAATTAACAATCAAAAAAAAAAAAAAAAAAGAATTAACGATCAGCTGGGTAAGGGCCTCCACCCAGAAGCTCTATACAGTGACAAGGTGCTAAAGGCCTAGGAGTTACTCTGTCTTGTGAGAGTGGACTGAATGACTTGTAGAGTCTATGTAAAATGTACTAGCACTTTGCAAGTTAGGTGTGCATGTATATAGAAGTTATTTCTTATTTATATCCTAGGAGTCCTAGCAGTTTATTTCCACAAAGACTTGCCGCAGATTATTTAATCCAGCTATTTCAATTCATTTTCACTTTGTTTTTATTTGTATTTTGAGACAAGTTTCAGTATACAGCCTAGGCTGGTCTGAAAATTGCAAACCACCTGCCTCAGCCTCTCAAATGCTAAGATTTACAGGCACGTGCCACCTCTCCTGGCTTTGTTTTTTAAAATAGGACTTTTTTTAAAATGGAATTCAGAGTAGCAAATCCAATTTTAAAAAGAGAAAGGGCATATGATGTACAAAACCAAAGATTTCCAAATATTATAAGCAAAAAGGTGCTTTAAAGAGGAGTTAGGAAGCAATCCTTCCCATTTTGGGGGATGATCCAGTTGGAAACTAATGATAACAAAATTTATGTTCTCACTGTTATACATCCTCATTTTCAATATTTGGGACTCTTCCACAATATGGGACAGTATGCAGCACCATTTAAGTCAAGCAGGTAAAAGTTTATGTAAAAGTAGTAAGTTAGAGCAAGAAGCTTGTAAGGAGATGAGGACACAAATACACAACGAAGCATGGACTGTGATCTCATCAGAAGTAGGGAACTTACCATCTAATTTAGGGAAGAAAGTTACAGAATAATTGCTTCCTTGACTTTGCGAATGTTCTTTGGGTTCCGTTTTTTTGGTAGTATTGGGGGACTGCACTCAGAGCCTTACCCACACTTGCAAGGCAGGCACTGTACCCTGTGAGCTGTGCCCCCAGTCCTTCTGCAGGTTTCTGAGGTTGTGTGGTCAAGCTGAGAGGAAATGCAGCTCAGCACAAAGGCATGGGATGTTCACAGATTATCTACAGAGATAAAAACCAAGCCCTAATCTGAAAAGATCAAGCAATATTAGTTCTCATTCTGGACAGTTTTGAAGTAAAAAAGTATCCGAGAAGTGGCATCCAAGTGGCATGGATTTGCTTTCTAGAATAAATCAACATCACCTTGCAACCCAAGAGATTCTAGAAGTACTAAATTGTACTCGAAGGTAGATTCCTTTCATGTTTTCTTCTAGCAGTAGAATGAAAACCCACTTGTACATTAGAATCATGTAGAAAACTTATTTTTCGGCCTCCACTGCAGACTGGAACCTTTATCACAGACACAACCCAAAAATCCAGTTTTCAAAAACATTGCCTGGAATCATATGATCATGGCACATGTCTATCATCCAAGCTACTGAGGGCTGAGGTTTGAGGCCAGCCAGGGCAAAACACAGAGTCTGTCTCAAAAACAAGGTGGGAGGAGGGTGCATACCTATAGTCCCAGCTACATGGGAAATAGAAGTAAGATGATAATGATATGAGGCCAGAACCAAGCAACATTAGTTCAATATTCTACCTGAAAAAGGACTGGAGGCATGGCCCCAGTGGGAGAGTGTTTGTCTAGCAAATGTAAGGACCTAAATTCATTCCCAGGTACTACAAAACAAAAGCTCTGGGGGATTCTTAGGCATCCCCAGCCCATTGGTGCCGTGTTGTTCCGTGGACTAATGCTATATTTAAGTTGTCACATAGGAGTCAGTCATCTACCTTAACAGTTTTTTGGGTCAAATCTATATAGTGACAATATCTAAACCAATTATTTGCCTTACACAGAAGGCTCCCCAGCCCCCCAAATGGAAACATCCTACTGTAAATCAAAACCAAGCAATCAGAATCAGGAAACTGGAGGTCTGTGGTGCTGGCCATACTTTTCTGCTAGGCACTAAAACGTGAAGGTCAAGGCATATCCCAGTGAATATATGTCACGCTATGGGGAAGTGCTACAGAATGGCCAAGCGTTGCTTATAGACAAAATTAAAGGCTGGAATATAAACCTTATTTTCAAAAAGTCGTAAGTTACTTCCCTTTTGGGCAGTGTAGCCATGGCACCAGTAATTTCCTCCTAGATACAACCAGCCACCTGGTTGTATTTAGCTGGTGACTAAATTCTGACAGGGACCTAAAATTCTCCACGATGTAAAGGAAGGTTAGTTAGAAGGCCGAAAGCAGAGGCCAGTGACCCTCTTCTATGCAGCACACCACGATCACAGCGCGCCTAATCAATTCTCACTCATCTCACCTTTGCTTTGGATAACAAGCCGCGCAAGTGGAGTCGGACTGAAGACAGCATCTGCACAACTTCCTGGGGGCTTGATTTGTTTTCACTGCATTTTATAGCCACTGCAAGATAAACGGGGGAAAAACATCCATCAAGAACTCTTTCTTCCCTATTTCCCTTTCTTTCTTTGGTGTGCGACTTTGGGGATTGAGCCCAGGGTCTTGTCATGGCAGGAAAGACCTGGTCCATGGGGCTATACCCCCAGTTTCACTTTTATCATTCTTGATGGAGAAAGGTTTAGTGCTGAGGAGAATGTGAGGGAAACAAGTTGTGATGACTTACAGATCACCAGCAAGAGATCCAACACACACACACACACACACACGCACGCATGCACGCACGCACGCACACAACCACCTAATGAAATTTAGTAAGGAGGCAAACACTGTTACTGAAAACAAGGCACCACACAGGACGAGCACAGTGCAACACGGCTGTGTGGTGCTTCACAGCACTGCGTCCCAGATGGGGTTTCCCACTGTACCCCAGCCCAAGGAGGTCGCATCCAGATCTGCAGAGCTCAAAGCCAGGTGCATCTTCATTCTCCATGATTACAGCACACTCTGGAAAAACTGACACCAGCGATCCCCTGAGCCATACTTGGCATCAGCAGGAGAGTGGGAGGGTTGGGGGGCAGGGGTGGTCCTGGTGGCAGGTGGGGAGAACCCCAGACTTCTCTGCCTCCAGCCTTCCAAGGAGCTTACTTCCTTAAAAATTTGCAATTAGGAAGCGGTGTGCTCCTGTCTGGCTTCATAAGAACAAAGACTTTTGTACAAACATATGCTTGATATTGTTCCACTAATCTCTTCTCATTTTTATTCCTTGAAATTATGCTCTCTAAATTCAAATAGACCAATAACCAGATCCTACTTTAAACTTACTAAAGAAGGCAAGGATTAGAGCCGACTTTATATCCTAGATCATATACCACAGATGGAAAATAGACTCCTTTCTTTATTGCTAATTCTAATCAATTGATAGAGGCTGCTGGTGCCAGGTAAAATACGGTTGTTGTTATTTATAGTAATATCTTCCATGATCAGCAATAAACTAGGTTTGATGTTCTTTTTTTTTTCTATTATCAGTCATGAAGCTTGAACTCTGGGCCTGGGCACTGTCCCTGAGTTCTTCAGCTCAAGGTGAGTGCTCTACCACTTGAGCCACAGCGCCACTTCCAGTTTTTTGGTGCTTAATTAGAGATAGGAGTCTCATAGACTTTCCTGCCTGGGCTGGCCTTGAACTACGATCCTCAGATCTCAGCCTCCTGAGTAGCTAGGACTACAGGCATGAGCCATGGCACCCAGCTTGATGTTCCTATTTTGAACAACAGACTTGGGCAGTTTTCAGCGGGTGGCTGGAAGGATACGGGTTAACAGGCACCAGTAGCCCCATTGTCAGAGGGTGAGGAGCACCATGTCTGTTCCTACCTCAGAGGGAAGCTGTAACTACCACAGCTGCCTAATACCTAGAAGCTATCAGTAACAGCCACTTTCTTTAACCCTTTATTTTCATTCTGAGAAAAACATGAATAGAGCAAGAAAAACAAACATATACTCTGTTAGTTCCCTTCCTTAATCCCATTTCCAAAAGGCATTATTAAAAATAGCCATAAAGCTAAGTGCCAGTGGCTCAACCCTGTAATCCTAGCTACTCAGGGAGGCTGAGATCTAAGGATCACAGTTCAAAGCCAGCCTGGGCAGAAAAGTTTGTGAGACTCTTATCTCCAACAAACCACTAGAAAACTGGAAGTGGCACTGTGGCTCAAGTGGTAGAGTGCTCGCCTTGAGCTGAAGAGCACGGGGACAGCCCCCAGGCCCAGAGTTCAATCCCCACAACCGACAAAAAACAAAACCCATAAAAACAGCAATAAGCTGAGCCCAAGTGCTCATGCCTATAATTAATTCTAGCTCCTCAAGATACTGCAATCTGAGGATTGTGGTTCAAAGCCAGCCTGGCTGCAAAGTCCCTAAGACTCTAATTAATTTCCAAAAAAAAAAAAAAAAAAAGCCGGAAGTGTGGCTCAAGTGGTAGAGTGCTATCCAGGGAGATTGCATCCAGGTCTTGAGTTCAAGCCCCAAAAGAGAGAGGGGAGGGATGAGAGGAAGAGGAAGAGAGAGAAAGAAAGAAAGAAAGAAAGAGACAGAGAGACAGACAGACAGACTAGACAGACAGAGAGAGAAGGAGGGGGGGAGAGGGAGAGAGGTGAAAAGGGAGAGAGGTGAAAAGGGAGAGGGAGAAGAAGAGGGATCCTGCTGTTTCAAATTAATAGAAAATCCAAGACAGCAGTGCTTCCTCCCTGCAAACAGCAGTTAGACGACATAACTATTACTTTAAAAGTTCCAGGATGGCAGAGAACAAAGGAACTCTTGCCCACTCTTTCTCAGAAAACACCCTCATCCTGCAGACAATGGGAATAAAGCACACAGCAACCTCAGTTACAGACCAGTCTCAAATTCTGTGTGGAGACTGCAATGGCTTCTGGAGCTTGCTGAGCTGCACAAGGACTGTTATATCAGCAACTCTGCCAGGAAAAGGACTTTAGAATGTTCTATTTCCTTTTCAGAATTGAGGAGTGGAGGAACAGTGTGAAGGAGAAGGACAGAAAGGAGAACAGAATAACAAATTCAGTTTATTATTTGACTGCTGCTGTCTAAATGCAATAAAGACAAGGTTAGCAAGTAAAGCTAAACATCCATCCAAGTATGCTTAAAATGCAGAAGCACCAACACGTTCATCAGTTACAGTCCAAGGAGACCTTCAAAGAACAGACACTTATTTTTAGTAAAGTACGGTCCTGAAACAAACAAGCAAACACAGTGCCAACAACAGTTTAAAACCAAGATGTAAAGGCAAGATTTTTCCTGGAATTATTTCTCTACCCTGCTTATTTATAGTTGGCAAGTTTAATCCCAGCACTTGAGCACAGAAAACATCTTGGCTTTGACTATACAGAGCCAGAGGCTCACAGAAATGTTTAGAGTGGGCAAGCTAAAGGAGATAAGATGAATTCTCCAACATAAATCCACCCTCCTAATTATGTATGTAACATACCTAAGTGTGGATTTTTCTAAGCACATCCACAAAGGACGGATCCCCCTTGGAGGCCCCTCTCCTAAGGCCAGCCAAAGCCCCAGAGATCCCAGCCATCCCACAAACATCCTTCTACAGTACCAGCCATTCCCTCCAGCTTTCCACATGGAATGTCAGCCACACAGGGGTCGGCACTCCTACCTTATCTGCTAACACTAGGTGGTCCAGAAAATTGGACACTTATAACCTTTAGGTCAAAAAAATAAAAAACCTTACAATAGAATTATTAACTACCAAATCCATTTTGAAACCGTCTAAATGTTCTATGACTTTTTTTATAGGCAAGCTAAACTTTATCCACCTTCTTCACCTTTTCCCTTTTAGTTTGAAGTCCTTATCATAAGGTTTAGATCCTCTACTTTAGAAGAAATGCATAAAACTGTGCTAAGTCAGTGGAGCACACTGGCTGCACTAGTCATGGATGAAAGTGAATTATGCAACTTGTCAGTGGAGAAGGGAGGGAGGGAACGGGAGAGAATGAGGGAACAGATGACACTATGTGAAAGGAAGTATATTTAATATTTGATGTATGTACAGCCAACCCCACTGTATATCACCTTTAAACAATAAAGTAAAATTTTAAAATGTTGAAACGATTCATTTATTCTTCCTGACACCATGAGTAGTGGTTATCCCCTACAACTAAACGAAGTCTCAGAAAGTCAAGTAACTGACTCAGTCACCTACTCTCTTTCACTGTTCTTTGGTGACTCCCATGTGCTGTCACTACCAGTGCCAGGAAGAAGCTAGGAGGACTGCAGGATAGGTTCACAGAACTGTATTCTCACAGAAACACACATGCATTTTTTTCATTAAGGCAAATAATTAAAAGCAGTCTTTCCCTGGACTGTATTTACTCAATAAGCAAATATTTTCCCTTCAAATTATTCCCTCCAAATTTCCCATTTCTTCCCGTTCCCCACCCTCCCACCCCTTTCTTTCTTTTGCCTGTATTGGAGCTTGAACCCAAGGCCTGCAACTCTCACTTAGCTTTTTCTGCTCAAGGCTGGAGCCCATACCTCCACTTCCAGCTTTTTGCTGGAACTGGAGATAAGAGTCTCTAGCATTTATGTACCTGGATTATCTCTGAACCATGTTCCTAAAATCTCAGCCTTCTGAATACTAAAATTATAGGCATGTGCCACAGGTTTCCGGCTTACATTGTACATTTCTTTTACATACATCATAGCTCTCTAGATATACTATGTACTCCAAAAGTTTACAAATTTTTAAATTTTTTTTTTCAGTCCTGGGGATTAGATGTAGGACTATATCCTCAGCCCATGAACAAGGAAGAATGAGTTAAGGAAAAGCCAGAATTTCCTTATCACTGTATCTCTAACACAAACTGTGTAAACAAACGTTTTTACACTTGTATTTCATATCTCTAGAAGGTTTCTAATTCCTCTCACTTATTCAAACAGTATGTAAGCCATTGTCCGGTTTCTTCTTATTGGTCCAATTATATTATTGTTCTAATTGAAATAAAAATCTTCTCTGAATTAAATGCAACAATTTTAACATGATGGAGAAACCTAAAATTGTCATGCAGATTTGTTTTTTGACTGTCACTCTATTATATTAGTAACAAATGCAATAAAATATGCCATGGATATCAGATTACCATGTGCAAGTCCTAAGGCTCTTTGAACAACTTCCTTAAATGATGTAATATCTTTCTCCCAACAATTGGACTGTGTATCACACTTGTAGGCCTTTGAGAGATACTGGAATGCCTAAGAAAAGAAGAAGAACATTCAGAATAGTAAGTACAATTCACATTTCAAACTCTGTTGCGTAGAAGTCATATGAAACTAATTCCAACTTGAAAAGTATCACCTGTGGTATATAGCACAGTCTCTACGATTCTCATCAAAGAAGAGATAGAGATGCATATCTAGTAATAGCAATTGCAAGATATTTTCCTACACCTAGAAAAATAGAAAGGCCAGGCTTGGAAATCTATAAGAAGTATTCAGATTTCCTCAACATTTGTAGCCACTATCTTAAGAGAGAGTTATTGGAGAAATTATGAGCTGATGAAAACTATGGAATTGCTAGTAGGTGTGTTTAAAACACACATTACTTAGGAATTCTTGGAGGAGAAGCTATAGATCATCAAGCCTTAGTTCCTTTTGCGCAGTGAGTATATAATTCAAGAGAAACAGAAAGACAGAAAGAAGGAATTGTGCGTGCGTGCGTGCATGCGTGTGATGTGTGTTCTCTGGGCTGACAAGGCCATGGTAGAAACCAGCTGTGCGAGCTGAGGGAGGAGAGGAGGGCTGGGAATCCCATAGATTAGCTGTACCGTGGCGAATTTCAAACCCATGCAAGGAGTATATTTGATTTGTTGTGGATTTTTTGGAAGAGAAACACAAAACCAGTATTCCAACCTTGGAAACTCTGGGAGCTCCTTTAGGTCTAAAAATAAGAAGGCAATGGTACAACTGGAATAGAGCTGGTGTTTCTACTGCCCTTCCGAGAAAGGGGCAGGACAACCTCTGTAAAGCGTTACATGTTTAGACTTGGAAAGTTCTGCTTCAGTTGCCTTATCTAAGCCCTTAACTTTTCCTTGTGGTAGTAATGCCTCAGATGTAAACGCTTTCTGTCCTTGTACCAAGACTGCCTTGGTCTTTAGCAATGGGCCTGCAGCAGTGGGGCGCAAAAAAAAAACAAGAGCCAGCTGGTCGCTGTAGATACAGTAAGGACGAGACCCTTGATAGGAAACAGCTAAATCAGGGAAACCCACGAAAAGTAAAAAGACAAATGTTACAAGTCTTAGCCTGCCCACAACTCAAAGACTCTGAACCAAAATTGAAAGTTGAATTTGAGCCCATGAATTCTACCTTTCACAGTAGTAAACTCTTCCTCCTTTTATTAAAAAACAAAACAAAACAAAAGAGAATCGCCTGCCTGTGAGCTGAGCCCCAGACAATGGCGCAGGAGTCTGGGAGCTGGCCTCACCTTCTCATTCTCCTCAGGCTTTTCACTCTGTCCATTTCCATAGGCTTGGGCGTACAGCCTCCAGATTTCTCCGTCGTTGGTCACCCTTGAAGTTACTCTGCCAAGTAGCTCCTGCAGCTTTCCCTTGAGGCCAGTAGCAACATCTCCACTTCGATCAGGCATTCCATTAACCACTGCCCTGACCAGAATTTTAAGGACCTTAAGATGTACGGAAAGATTTGGTAAGATAGAAAACCAAGTAACAGTCCATGCTCATCATCAATGATAATGACATGAATGACCCTGTGAAATCTGTCTGGGTATCACTGGTACAAATTTTAAAAACAAAACAAACGACTACCAGAGTCACCATCTAACGTGGTACACTGACCACCTCTCTGAAAGCCCTGTCTTGAGCCCTGTCTCCAGCTCTCCTCTCTTTCCATTTGACACATCCTTTCTGAGGCCCCGCCCCGCCCACACTAGTAACTTCAACTGCAACACCACAGGCTACTCTCGTGGTTTCTCTGTAGCTTCAGCAAGGTTTCTGCCTACAGCACGGGACTGTTACCTAAACACCTACTGGGCAGACCCTGGCTATATAGCATACTTACTCACCCGAGAGTGAAACAGGGATCTCACATCCCTCTGCCTCCTGCAGTCTCTAGATAAACCCACCTTCATGGTTCCCAGAGCCAGTATTCTGAGCATCAATCTCAACGCTCTTTTCTCCCACTTTTGTTACATCTGATTCAACTTGACATTCCTTATAGTCCTACCTTCCCTAGTCTTCATGAACTTTCACCTGCATTGCTGTGACAGAATCTAACTCTGCTTAAAGAGCTCCCACCTTTTCCTAATTATTAAATGACAAACTGCTCGTGCAAGGTCTTTCTTTTCCTTCTGACTATCCCCAGGTCAGCTTTCCATTTAGTAACTGATTGGCTAGCTTGCTCTCATATTCTATTCTAGCTGCTCTGAATGTTGGTGGATGGATTAGATTAAATCAAAAGATTATAAAATCAACAGGTTATACTGTTATGGTAAGACACATCTGTGCACCTCAAAGCAGATCTGAGAAGGTGGAACAAGTGCTCCCTTCATCTTCCTTTCCTTTGGTGAGGACAGTACTCTATGACATTTTGTCCGTGAACCAGGGAACTTGTCAGAAATGCAGAATTCCAGAAGAGAGGTATTGGATCCCATCCTGGGGAAATGGGATTCTACATTTCTAACAAGTTCCAGGTGAAGGCTAATGTTGATAGCCTACAGAACTTGGAATAGCAAGGTCCCAGGAGACACATTTCAACATCCTGGATCACCAGTGTCTATCATAGTGCTTGCACATAGCACCAAGTAAACACTTGTCCCCGAAAGAAAGGCTGAGCAGAATATTCTCTTTCAAGTGTTAAGAGACATGCAACCAAGGTAACACTTTCCTCCTCTGGAACAATCTAGGTCTTTCTCCTCTAGAACATTCTTTTCTTATGTGTGTGGGGGAGAAGAGGGGAAAAGAATTACAAAGGATAGAATCCAGGGCCTTGTGTATATTATTGATCTACATCTCAGCTACAAGACCATTCTGATTCATGCCTGAGACATAGTTGAAGAACTGAGTCTCTCCTAGAACAAACAGACTCACAGATCTGAATATACATAGTACTTATCTCTGCTTGTTCTTCCTTGTTTGAATAATGTAAATTGTCTCGGCCTGTAAATTCACATTACAATTCCATGTGCATAATTTTATGTTTAAAAGTAGCAAAATTCTTATTACAATAAGCTCATTTGTGGTTTTACAACTAAAAGTAGCAAAATTCCTATTACAACAAGCTCATTTGTGGTTTTAAATCTAAAAGTAACCATGCAGAAGCAACAGTAGGGATGTGTGCTACTTGTTTCCAGTGATCATTCTGTAAGGACTTTGAGGATTAACACACTCTGAAAGGGGGTAAGTCACCAGTAAATGTAATACACTAGATTAGGAAACTACTTCCCTGCTTTCTGGATCTTACGGCCCAATATGCCATCCCCTTACTCCAGTCTCCCTGGGGAAATAATGGGGGGAGAGAAAGCGTGTGGTCTTCTTACAACTAAAAATGGAGGGCTACAATCACAGGCATTTGAGAGGGAAGAAGATGCTGCTGTTGTTGGCAGCAGTGGTGGTAGTGCGAGCGCACGTATGCTGAGGGAGTAGATGAAGGGCACTCTAGGGAGAGGAGTCTGTGCTGGGAGAGCCAAGGACAGCGGGCACTAGTAGAAGGAAGGACAGGTATAGGACGGCCTTTATCAATTCACATATGGATACTACAAGAAGTAGAGGTGAGCAGAAGGATAAACTGTCTGCATGTTTGATGGCCAGTTTAAAAAAGCTGGCTTTAGCACTTAGGAGAGTTCTTTATTGGAGAAAAGACCACAAAAGTGATTCATGGGCATGGAAGATATCACCCAGAGACATGTTGGGTAAGAATAAGGCTGAGGAGTCTTAGGGAACACATTGGAGAGGAGGGCAATGAACATAATCTACTCCGGAGGCGAAAAGGGAGTAACCAGAAAAGTGGGGGAAAGTGATGTCATAGAAACCAAGAAAGGAGACATTCACATGGAGATTCTATCTAAAAAAGATTAGGACTAGTAAATTCTGCTGCATCTGGCAATTACAGGCTTATTAACTGTATCTAGGACTGCGGCCAGTACAAGCATGACAGGAGAGATCTTAATTTCAAACAAGGAGTTTACAAAGACAGAGAAACACATGAAAAACAAGCAATTATTAACATTATGAAAAACAAAGAGCGAAAAACAAAAATAAATCTGGGCATGACAGCACACACCTGGAATTCTAGTCCTCTGCAGGCTGAGGCAGGAGAATAAGGAGTTTGAGGTCAGCCTGGGCTATAAAGTGAGACTCTTCACACACATACACACACATACACACACACACACACACACTCTCTCTCTCTCTCTCTCTCTCTCTCTCTCACAAAACAAAAACCTCCCACTAACCACAGTATTCTATAATACTGACTTTGAGTATCATAATGATAACAGAGACTATTCCTGTAAAGAAATCTTTAATGTAAATATATTAGGAAGATAAGAAAGAGAAGGAGTAAAAGTGCTGGCATAAGAGTCCTAAGTTATCATTATGATAAGCCAACAGGCAATGCCTAATTCTGGGTTAAAAAAAAACACTAATGGGGCTGGGAAGGTGGCTCAGTGGTAGAGTGCTTGCATGCCTGAGGCCCTGGGTTCGATTCCCCAGCACCACATAAGCAAAAAGAAAAAAAAAGCCGGAAGTGGCACTGTGGCTCAAGTGGTAGAGTGCTAGCCTTGAGCTGAAGAGCTGAGGGACAGCACCCAGGCCCAGAGTTCAGGCCCCACGACCGGACCCAAACCCCCCCCCCCCCAAAACACTAATGGTACATAGCTATTAATATAAATTTGCAAGTGTGCAACTAGCAAGAGAGAAGCAATTTCTTCACACTGGAGAGAAGGATCTTGAGTAGAGAAGAGATCACTATATTTTGTAATTAGCTTTTTATTTCTGTTCGGCTTATAAAACCACATACCTATGTTGTTTTAATAAAATAAAAACAAAAACAGAGAAAAGCTAAAACAAGTACATACAAAGATCAGAAAAAAGGAAACAAAAATGATGGCGTCTACTGTCATTATTTTTCAATAAAACTAATTCAAAAATTTGTTTATGCAATTAAAAAAACTCTATGAACTGCAGAAAAAATAAATTTATGCAAATATATAAACTAATGAAGCTAAAATGCAATTTTATAAAGTGGTTTCAATGGTAACATAGTTATTTTAAAAGCTATTAGAGTAATTTTATAATTTACTAGCTAATAGCACCATTTTCATAATCAATTATGACTATCCAGGCTAACTACAAAAAGCAACAAATTACAAAATATATCTAACTTTGCTTAACTAGACATTCATAGCTTAAAAGGAACAAGAACGTTATAATAAAATTTCCTTGGTTAAATGAATCATTGAGTACCATTCCCCTGGGGCAGTTTACAAATATATCAGCATTCTTCTTTTTTTATTTAAAACATGTAAAGTCTTTAATCCACTAGCATGAGTATATTATCATAATTACTTAAGCCATCAGCAACTAGCCAAAAGTAGCCATTTTTTAAATATTACATAAAGTGATTGTAGAGTAGAATACTGAAGGCTAAGATTATGGAGGAAGAATAATTCTTAAGAAGGTAGGAACAATAGGAACGGGTTGCTCAAATGAAATAAGAAGAAGGGCAAAGAATTTTAAACCTAAAATATTAAATGTGTGTCATCTATTGAACATCAAGTATACAGGAACAGCTAAATCTGGAACAAATGGAACCACCAGGTAATGTAGTACACCATGAGCATGGGAAATCTGAAGATTATATATACGTATATATACATGCACATATATACATATACACATACATATATGCCATTGACTTTTATCATTTCATTGTTTTTTTGCTAAATATTGTTTCAACCAAAAAGACATATTTTTGTTTTGTGAATTTTTAGTTGAAAACTTCTCCAAGACATTAAAAATAACACAAAATAAAAAGAGAAAATAAAATTCCCAATGGTACATCGGCTAAGTATAAGCCTATTAACATTAGACTGAATTTCTTTCTAATCTTTTGCTATGCATAAATTTTAAATATACTATGCAACTAATTTTATCTTGCCTTTTCCCCTTTATTAGTATATATTAATTGTATAAAATAATGTATTTCATGAATACAAAACTGTGAATATATCAAAAGTCATTGAATTTTGTGCTTTAAATAATGTATTTCATTATAGCATTTTCATACATGTTTCTAATGTAATTTAGTCATATTTACTTCCATTACTCTTATTTGTCTTCCCTTCCCACCTTTTTCAGTTAGCACTGTTACAGAAATTTTCATGTATGCATTTTTCATATACTTTTTAAATATATTGCTTTAATAGAGCCAAAATATTTTACTGGGCAGAGTGCTCATGCCAGTAATCCTCGCTATGCAGGAGGTTGAGATCTGAGGATAGAAGTTTGAAGCCAGCCAAGGCAGGGAAATCTGTGAGGCTCTTATCTGCAATTAACCACCAAAAAAGCCAGAAGTGGCGCTGTGTCTCAAGTGGTAGAGAAATAGCATTGAGCAAAGAAGCTCAGGGACAGATCCTGAGTTCAAGCCCAGGACCAACACACACAC